TCTTTTTTGTACCAGGCTGTAAACATATTTTTTTCTGCTGTAAAGTTGGGCATTTTAACATGGGGAGTCTATGGGACTGACTCTTGGAGCCAGCCTCTAGCGGCCAGTCGATGAATTGCAGTTTTAGTCACTTCCGTGTTGGCTTCACAAGAGAGACCGGAAGGTTGCCGCTTGGTTGCAACCACAACTGTTTCTGAGGAACTACATGGACTTTTTTCACATTTCCGGTGCATCCCTCTCCTCCTTCACTGTTGTCACTTCTCCCACGATAGTGTTTTCATGACTTTCAATAAAAGGAAAAAAATTTAGTGAGACTGATAACGGCAGTCAGAACAGAAGAGAGAACGATGTCAAACTTACCGTCCCTCCCATAGACGCTGCATTAGAAACACCCTCGCATTAGCGTTAACTGTTTTTTTGTAATTTTATGCAAAGGTGTTATAATACAAAGAATAGTGTTATAAATGTACATACATTTAAAAAAAAATACAAATATGAAAAACCTTCGAGGATTTACGATGCTGATGACCGTTAAACGCGTCATCACAGTCTTGTGAAAAGGGTCCATTGTTTGGTGGAAGAATACTGTTTTTATTAATATCATTACACTTTATTTGCTCCGTTTTATGTAGTGAAACCTTACAAAGTATATGGAATAACCGTTTTATAAAATCAATAAGCCCCGTGAAGCCGTGGTTTACAGTGAATTTATAACAGCTAAGGTCACAGGGCTTATTGCTTTAATAAATTACACTCAAAGATATATTCAAATGGAAAACAATTATTTTAAACTGTTTTTACTTTATGTAATAAGTGCAGCACTGGTGAGCATAAGACACGTATATAATGATTTAAAGGGCAGTGTATTGTGTATGTGTACAGCCTTTTCATTTTTGTTCCAGTTCATGAAGTTTGGAATCCAGATCAGTTATATCTGGGGCTCGAAGATCAAGGACTCTTCCAAGAAACCAGTCCATGTCCAGAATCCCAGTATACCGAGCTCCATTATCAGATAATGGATACTCAGGCGCCCTTTTCTTCACCTGAGGGTGGTGTTGGTGTTTTGGGGCAGATTTCGCCGCCTGAGGGGGCGACGGCTGCGTATCAACCTGATGGTGAATGCGTGGGTCATCAGGGTAGCATTCCTATGCCAAAACTGGGTAGGTGGATCCCAAGATTCTCACACAGATATTCACATCAATTACTGGTGTTTGATTACTCACACAGCTTTATTTCTGTTCATATGTTTTCCTCACAGAGACATTTTTTCGGATTAAGGTTTATTATAAAGGGAAGATGGTGAAGGAACAGTTGGTGGAGAATGACACTGGTTTCAGACTGACGTATCAGGGAAACATGTTGGTATTTTTGTACTTGATTCATCACTGATCTTCAAATCAGCACCACTGGTTATGTTTCCTAACAGTATCCTGTTAACTCCCACAGGGACGAATCCATGGGCAGTGCTGATCTACCAGTGGTCCGACTACCTATTGTACTACCAGAAGTTATTGTGGATCAGATCCAGGCCAAGCATACGAATGAAATTCTGAACAATCTGGGGGGTCTGGAGATCAGGAGATTGGATGGAGTGGTTTGGGGTCACCGTTGGGGATTGAGCAGGATCTACTGGGGTCTATGCAAACACGAAAACAGCCAAACAACCAGAGAGCTCTCCAAAAACACACCTGAGGCCATCTACTTCTTCAAAGAGTATATATCAGGTGAGTTATATGGTGTTAAACGTCAAATTTCTCCCAGCCATTTTACCGATTGAATACATTTTTGAAAATCAAATTGTTGTATGATAGAAGTCTATTTCCATATATGAACATGAATACAAAAATGGTAGAAAAATGCCTTTTTACAGAATTTACACATGGGTCAGGTAGCATTTTTTTTTTTTCATAAATTAAATTAAATTGGAAATAGTAAATTGTGTATTTGTTCAGATATTAAACGTCAAATTTCTCCCAGCCATTTTACCGATTGAATACATTTTTGAAAATCAAATTGTTGTATGATAGAAGTCTATTTCCATATATGAACATGAATACAAAAATGGTAGAAAAATGCCTTTTTACAGAATTTACACATGGGTCAGGTAGCATGTTTTCTTTTTTCATAAATTCAATTAAATTGGAAATAGTAAATTGTGTATTTGTTCAGATATGGCTGATCGTTGGTGGTTGCAAATATTTAGTTGATTCTTGTATGTTAGACTGGTCACTTGGAAGGTGTGCTGGATGTCATTCCTTTAGGTTTGATGGAGTTTATGCAGACAAGCCGAGAATCTCCTTCCTGCACTCTTTACCTCTTTCTGGGAGAGAAGTGGCCCGACCCCAAAATGAAGCCATGGGAGAAGAAACTCATCATGATAGAGGTTAGGACTGAGCAAATTAAGTTTTTTTATGTATTGTTTTAATATTTGAAATATATATTTGTAATATTTAGATATTTAATATAAGCCATAAGCCCTACTGTATCATATGCAGATTTCTAAGGCCTCTAATTTATCGACATGATCAAAACATGTTGTACACAATCTAGTACATGCTGTCTGTCATCTGATTGATAGATCACACATTTATAGCAAGTAAAATGCCTATAGTATAATTGTAAAAATGTTGCATTAAAGGGTTAGTTCACCCAAAAATGAAAATTCTGTCATTAATTACTCACCCTAATGTCATTTTAAACCCGTAAGACCTTCGTTCATTTTCGGAACACAAATTAAGATATTTCAGATGGAATCTAAGAGCTGTCTGACCCTGCATAGACAGCAAAAGAACTGAAATGTTCCCAAGTCCATAAACGTATAGCAAGGAGATCTGTAAAATAATCCATGTGGCATCAGTGGTTCATCCGCAATTATACGAAGCTATGAGAATACTTTTTGTGCACACGGATACGCTGTTTCCATTCAGATCAAATCACAACAACAGGAAACAGATCCGGTGTGACACAGCTGACACAGAACAGCATACGCTGTTTACATCCAGCTGATATTCTCCAAAATGGCACCAGGGTGATGCGGAGGAGACGAATTGTTGAATAAAGTCGTTTTTTTTTTGTGTGCACAAAAAGTATTCTCATAGCTTCGTATAATTGCGGATGAACCACTGATGCCACATGGATTATTTTACAGATCTCCTTACTATACGTTTCTGAACTTGGGAACATTTCAGTTCTTTTGCTGTCTATGCAGGGTCAGACAGCTCTCAGATTCCATCTGAAATATCTTAATTTGTGTTCTGAAGATGAACGAAGGTCGTACGGGTTTGAAACGTCATGAGGGTGAGTAATTAATGACAGAATTTTCATTTTTGGGTGAACTACCCCTTTAAATAAAATCGTACTAAGACATACTATTAGGAGATATAGAGTGATTTATATGCATTTTATGCTGTTATAAAAGTCTGACTGGTTTACATTACAAGCTGTCACAATTTCATCTTACTTCTTGACCATATAAATATCAACATCTGCACCAAATTTCATATCTTTGCATATAAAATGTGTTATAATTTGAATAAGTAAAATAAAATAAAAAATGTATCATGTTTTATTTTCACCTTTCCCATTCACTCTCTCTTTATATGGTTTCTTTAGGTTATTCTGACTTCACTGGAGGATTTGAAGACGATGGCTGTCGCAAACGGGGCATCTTCACTGGAGTCGGTGGAGCTCCAGCTCTCTCTGGAGCAAATGATGGAGTTGTGTTAAAAAGATCAAGAGGAAAGACTTGACTGCACACTTACTGGGCTCCTAAATTGAAACAGTTTCTTGAACAGTTTACTTAGCGGTGACTCCATAATTAATTGTATTTATTGAAGGTGTGTGGACTAATTCTGGAGAGCAGAATTTCAGTAATGGTACAAAGGAATTGTCAATGATTCTGCAGATAAAAATACAAAGATAAGTTTACAAGTGTGGTCAGTTTTAAAATAGATCTTGTGTTGTGTGCTATGATGAAAGCCGATTTAAAAATGGCTAAAATCCAAGTCTAATGTGCGTTTCGTTTCTGTTTTACACTACCACAGTTCTCTTACACAATATTGTGAATGATGTTGTCTATTTACAGTATGCTCTTTAGTCTTTTCTTGGCCTGAATTTCATTGTTATATCTTTGGCAGTAATCTGAACTGAATGCGAACTGTTGTTCCATTGCCGTGTCGTGTTTCTTCAGCTTTCTTTTCAGCTGATATGAACTAAGAGATTGGCATTTAGTATTGCGGTCATGTAAAACCTGGAAATTTCAAGGATTTCTATGCTTTTTCCAGGCCTGTTCTTCAATGTCGTGGAAACGTCAAGAACATTTCTATTCTACAATATACATTGTTGTGGTTATGCCCTGTTCCAAACATTTCATTGGAAAGATATTGATTTTGAAGAGTAAAACCTGATTGCAAGCCATGATATCAGATTTTTGAGTGAATCATTTGAGCCAGTTCTATACAATGAATCAGTTAAACCGGTTCACGTGCAAGTTTAACATTTAATATTCAGCTATGTGGAGAGGGATTTTTGCACCAATGAGATTTCACTGTGGGCGGAGCTTCTCAGGGCCACACAACATAAATAAAAACCAAGAACCCCACAACATGTCCTGCCACCTGTTCAGGACACTAGCGGATACAACTAACTTTTACCACTGATTCTACATTCACAGAAAAGAAATGAACATTTAACGAACATAGAGTCCTTCACAACACATAAATGCATTGACTAATTGAATAATTATGATGTAATCTAAACCATACATCAATGGAAAGCTTATTTATTCAGCTTTCAGATGATGTAGAAATCTCAATTTCAAAAAATGAAATGACTTATGACTGGTTTTGTGGTCCATGGTCACATTTATATATATATACACTACCTTTCAAAAGATTTTTTAATGTTAATTAAAAAAAAAAGCCCACCAAGGCTGCTTTTATTTGATTCGAATTACTGTGAAAATGGTGAAATATTACAATTCAAAATAATTGTTTTCTATTTTAATGTCATTTTGAATATTTTAATATTAATATTTTAAAATATAATTATTCCTATCCTGGAGTATCATTACTCCAGTCTTCAGCGTCACATGATCCTTCAGAAATCATTCTAATGTGCAGATTTGCTGCTTGAGAAATATGTCTGATTATGATCAATGTTGAAAACAGTTGTGCTGAATATTTCTGTGGAAACTGTAATGCATTTTAAGGTTTTATCTTCTGTAACATCACAAACACCTTTACTGTCACTTTTGATGAATTCATTGCATCCATGCTAAATAAAAGTATAATAAATCTTACTGATCCAAACTTTCGAGACTGGTTGTGCGTCAATTAATGGTTATGTCAAGGTGATGTTATGTGATAAACTGTTAAAACTAGATATTATAATATTCAATTATTATTTGATCTAGTCAGTTTTAATCACTTCTATGCCGATTCTGCTCCACGTTCTCCAGATCATCATGTTCTTCCTCTGATTTCGTCTCCTCCATTGAAAGGTCCCTGAGCTCTGACAGCGGCACCAGCTGACCTTCTTCGTCCAATCCCATTGGCTGAATCATATTATCCCTGTTTAGGAAAAGATATGAGAGTATTAAAGCAGTATGTGTGTATGGGGTTTTCAGTGGTTTAAGTTCCTTACTTTGAGAGTTTGTTAAAAAGACTGATGAGCCGGTGAGCCTCCTCCTCTTTCTCCTCCTCCGTCATTCCCTCCATCGGATCGGGCTGCTCCTCCTCCACCTGTCCCGTCACTGGATTCACTCGGTCTTTGATCTGCCGGTACTCCTCGGTGTCCGAGTCCGAATCGCTGGAGTACTGTGTGCCTGATGATGTGGCCTTTGACCTTTGACCTCCTAGCAAGCCTCTGGTGGCAAGGAGCCCAGCGGCATTTGTTCAGGTTATTAAAATGAAAAAATAAATACAATTGTTAATCTTAATGCTAATAAAATATTAAATATTATAATAATATTAAATCTTATTGCTAAGAAAAAATAGTTTTTAATAGGGAAGAAAATGGAGAAAAAAAAGAAAAAAATTAAAGGGTAATTGTGACTTTTTTTCAGAACTGTGAGATACAAATGATCAATTCAAGAGAAGAAAAGTCATAATTGTGAGATAGAAAGTTGCAGTTATCTTTTTCATATTTTATTTCATGGGATAAGCAAAAAAAAAAGAAACCTTTATTTTTAAGATTGTGTTTTTTTCCAGAATATTTGAGAGGTATTTGTGGTTAATATGTGTTTCTGTGCATTACCGCTCTCTTTGCACAGCATGAAGAGCAGGTCAGCAGCGCAGTGTTTGAGCTCAGTGTCCAGGTTTGTCATCAGTCTGACCAGACGATTCCTCATGGTGTTTCCCTCCTCAGGTTTAGTGCTGGCATCTCTTAATGGAGGCAGAATCTGCACTCGATAAAAACAAAAAAAACATTGATAAAATTTGATAAAAAAACAATACAAGTATTTTTAGACGGTGTGTTTGCTGATAATAATGTAAAATAGCAGTCATGCCTGATGTCTGAGGTAGTGTCTTGTGTCTCTGTGAGCTCAGGAGCATTCGGTCAGCAAGTTCAGCACGGGGGTCAGTCTCTCTTTGACCTTTTCACCCTGCATGTGAAATGCCACGGTGTTGAAAAAGTCACAAATAACAAGCATAACAATGTTTCCCTCTGAGGTTCACTATTAAAGACCAGGTTTTATTGTCGAAAAAACTATATAAAAATTGTTATAAATAGTTTTCTCCATCCTTTCTAATCATTAGAATTAAATGCTCCGAATGTTTCAAATTTTAACTAAATAAATAAAACTGCATTAAAAATTACTACAATTCTGCCATTCAAATGTTTGGGGTCAGTAAGATTTTTTTTAATAAAAATTTTTTTTTTAAAGAAATTAAGAGATTTTTATTCAGCAAGACTGCATAAAATTGATCAAAAGTAACAGTAAAGACATTTATAATGTGCTCCTGTGGCTCAGTGGTAGAGCATTGCTTTAGCAGCGCAAAAGGTCATGGGTTCAATTCCCAGGAAACACACATACTGGTGAAAAATGTATAGCCTGAATGCACTGTAAGTCGCTTTGGATAAAAGTGTCTGCTAAATGCATAAATTATTATTATATTATTAATTATTATTACAATGTTACAAAAGATTTTTGCTGTTAAATGATGTTCTTTTGAACTTTCTATTCATCAAAGTATCCTAAAAAAAAGTAGGATAGAAATATTAAGCATGTTTTCAACACTGATAATAATAAGAAATGTTTCTTGAGCAGCAAATCAGCATATTAGAATGATTTCTGAAGGAACATGTGACACTGAAGACTGGAGTAATGATGCTGAAAATTCAGCTTTGATCACAAGAATACATTACAATTTAAAATATATTACAACAGAAATAATACTAATAATATTTCACAACATTTCTGATTTTATGTATTTTTCGATCAGATAAATGCAGCCTCGGTGAGCATAAGAAACGATTGTTAATAATTAGTATTGACTGATATTTTGTAAGTCTCTTTAAGGCATAAATTAGACTTAGAGTTTCCTTGTCTGCTGTCTTTCACAGCACAGTTCAGGATAGTTTGGAGCTGAAAGTTACAGTCTGGAAATTACAGTGCATTTTATAGATGAATTAATGATTTGATCTCAACATATCAAGGTAAAGATGATTCATGATAATCTTTTATTTTCTTTCACTCTCTCTTCACCTGCTCCAGTTTTCTGTCCATGTACATGAACAGGTTGTGCACACAGTCCATGTTGGCTCCATTCATCTGGTGTGAGTCTGGAGCCAGAGGCACAGATACCAGAACGTCTAGACAGCTCAACGGGAGAGCAGACAGCATATTCACTGCATGCCTGAGAGCACGAGAGAGAGAGAGAGAGAGAGATCAGGACAAGCGTGTGGTGAAATCACTCCCTGTGTCAGTTTATAAATCCAACTAAAATGTAGAAATGCACGGCTCGTATTTTTTATTAAAGGGGTCATATGATGCGATTTCCATTTTTCCTTTCTCTTTGGAGTGTTACAAGCTCTTGGTGCATAAAGAAGATCTGTAAAGTTGCAAAGACTAAAGTCTCAAATCCAAAGAGATATTCTTTATAAAAGTTAAGAGTCAGATGCAACACATGCTTCGTCATATGACCCCTTTAATGTTTTTGTCTCGTCGCTCCGGCCGGACTGGACATCATCACAGTATGGTGAGGGACGTAACATTTCCGTCACACGTTATTCGGCCAATCACAACACACTGGATAGCTGGCCAATCAGAGCACACCTCGCTTTTCAGAACGATGAGCTTTGTAAAAATCGACGCGTTTCAGAAAGGCGGGGCATAGAGGAGAAACAATAATGTACAGTATGTGGAAAATAATGTGTTTTTTGAACCTTAAACCGCATAAACACATTTCATTACACCAAATACACAAAATAATGCTCTTTTTAGCAGCATCATATGACCCCTTTAATGCATTTACACGAATCGTTCATACAGTATGACTGGAGATGATAGAGAAAAGCAGACACAGACAAACATGGCTTCCAGAAGAAGTGACACTGGCACAGTTGAGGCACACTGGCTAAAGAGGCCTACATGTGGTCAATTTAGAGATATGAGGGAGAGATACTTTGAAAAAGTCACATCTAATTCCTCATTTATTTATTTATTTTTTACTGCCACAAACAGATCAGATGCAGGTGTTACTGAGGGAAGATGGTTACACATCTGTCAGCCAAATTAATATGTGCACTACACATTTGATCTGATTTTCATATTCACTAGTCTGTTATTGCCTGCACAACAGTTTAGTCTTAATGTGTTTAATAATTTAATTTAATTTAATTTGCAATTATTATTCTAATATTATTTTGGAGTCTTATTTTCATCTTATTTTTTGTCTATTATCTTTTAATTCTTTGTCTTGTGTGTGTGTTTGTCTTAGTTGTGTCAGTCATTGTCTTTGTCAGCCAAATTAATGTGCACTACACATGATTCTCATATTTACTAGTCTATTTACTGCCTGCAAAATTGTACATATTGCAATTATTATTCTATTATTATTTTTGGAGTTATTTTTTGTACTATTTTAAATTATCTTTCACTTCTCTCTCTCTCGCTCTCTGTGTGTGTGTCTTGATCTTGTCAATTATGCCAATAAAGTACTTGCATCTGTCAGCCAAATTATTAAGTGCACTATAATGTGATCTGATTATTAATGCACAACTGTGTAGTGTAGACATAATTTAATTTAATTTAATATGTTGCAATTATTATTCTATTAATATTATTTTTTAATAATATTAATATTATATTAACAATTATTTTCATATTATTTTATTCTATTTTGTACTATTCTATTATCTTTCACTTCTTTCTGTGTATGTTTCTTTCTGTGTATTTTTGTCTTGAACTTGTCGATCATGCCAGTAAAGGTTTTAATTATTTTGAATTATATTTGACTTCCACTTATGTGTGGAACGAGTAAAAAATATCAACATTTTCAGTTAGTGGAAAATTAATGCTACAGATGCTGTTGACTGGGCTTTCGTTACATTTTAAGTATTTATTATAGAACAATCAACAATATTTATCAACACTAACCCCTTTAACTCATCTGCAGCTTCCTCCTCCTCACAGGACACCATCAGACAGTGATGCAAAACTGCAGCCAGGTGGCGATAGAGAGACGCATCTCCCTGACAGACACAAACCATTAACAGTTACAGTCTATCAGTTTATTGAGTGTGC